ATACTTTATATTTCTGTGGTCGGTTCTGTCTGATGATTCCAAAGCACTTTGCAAACTCTGGGGAGAATGGGACTGAGCCTTTCTTTTACTCCACAGCATGTCCTGACCTCTCTAGCTCCTTCTTTTCAGTATTGGTCATTACCCCTTATCTCTTGCCTGGAAGGTTTATGGGGGCTATGAACCTGTATAAAATGCTTATTTGTCTTTATGTACTGTGAAGAATGCACCTAGGAGCAATATATGGTGAGTGCATGCCTTTTCTCCTTCTATGGGCAGAATGTATGGAATTTGGAAGTACTGTTAGATATGAAGAACAGTATGACTTACATTGATATATCATATGAACTGTTTTGGCAATATTTATGTCCCTTCCTAGGGATGAGCATACAAAACTAAAACATAACGTTAACAATACAAAGCTCATGGTGAAGAGGTTAGAAAACCACCATATGAAAACAAGGATGAGCTGCCCTAGGAGAGATGATTCCTGTGGCTTCTTCCAACTTTTTTTAACATTGTATTTAAAACTCAATAACTGTGCTTGGCATCAAGTATCTGGGGCAGTATAAGAATCTGAATAGACATTTGTTGAAGTCTTCACTTAAAACCTTGACCTAAGTGGCAGCAGTTTTACCTGAATAAAGGTTGTCTAAAGACTTCAGGATAAGAATAATGATGATGAATAATTAACAGCAATAATCAACACCACCAGAAGTGTCCATACCTGTCCAGCTCTAAGAGAACCACCCAGGCAGAGTGTGACGTTAGCAATGTATGAAGTTACACTATATATGGAGATATACCTATCTCCTAGAGCTGGAAGGGACCCTGAAAGGTCATCGAGTCCAGCCCCCTGCCTTGTCTAGCAGGACCAAGTACTGATTTTGCCCCAGATCCCTAAGTGGCCCCCTCAAGGATTGCCCATGCTCTATTTACTGTTTGTAAAGAGAGTTCTAAATGAGGATGTAATCCATAGCTAGCTGAAGAGTCACATCAGTGAGGTATGCCAAGCAAAGCAGACATTCCAAGTGTCAGGTTTTCTCAAGGAATGTAAGTCCCTCCCACTGTCTACCTGACGGCAACGAAGGTGTTAGAATCATCAAGTGATTTAAAAATCTGTTCCTCCCCAACCCAAATTATGCTGAGCTTTGCAGGGAATAGGACGGGTGGCAATAGCTCCATATCTTTCAGACTCTTCTTTACCTCATCAACACTTTTCCTTGACTTAATGAGGGACAAGCTGCCACAATCCCAAGTCATCTGCCTTAGCTATTTTGAGACTCTTGTTCCTGATGAGGTAAGTCTCGCAGACTTTGTGTGAGACTCAGGAAAACAGGACACTATGCTTTCTCAGTAGCTTTTAGAGTAGCAGCCGTGTTAGTCTGTATCCGCAAAAAGAACAGGAGTACTTGTGGCACCTTAGAGACTAACAAATTTATTTGAGCATAAGCTTTCGTGGGCTACAGCCTACTTCATTGGATGCATGTAGTGGAAAATACAGTAGGAAGATATATATACACAGAGAACATGAAACAATGGGTGTTACTATACACACTATAAGGAGAGTGAACAGTTAAGGTGAGCTTTTATCAGCAGGGGAGAAAAAAAACCTGTGGTGGTAATGAAAATGGCCCATTTACAGCAATTGACAAGGAGATATGAGGAACTGGGGGAGGTGGGGCGTGCGAATTTCCTTAACTGAATTTCCTTAAGCTCACCTGTACTCCTGTTCTTCTTTTTGCGGATACAGACTAACACGGCTGCTACTCCGAAACCTGTAATTATTATTCAGTATAAGAATAGATTTTCCATGGTACTTTGGGGTCTACAGTGTAAGTCATACCATGTCTACTCAGTAAGACTGAACCATGTTTTAATTATGTTGGAGAACTGCTGGGTTGTGACCTGGATCCCTTAACACAATAATGTAGATGGGACTGTTTTCTTCCAGCTCCTCTGTTCTTGGCTTCCATATAACCTTCAGTCTAGGAAAGTCTATACTGCAAGGAGAATGTATTTACTGCAGTACCTAGAAGCTGACATTTCAGCATATTTACACTTTCCATTTTGTAATATGAAAACAGAAAATGTTCAGGAGGCTGTTCAGCTGTAGAGGAGACTCAGGACTCTCTTGGCTGAGGTGACCCTATAATGGTTATTTATTACTAATTACCAAATAGCTAATGCAAACTAAGTACTTTTTATTTTAAAGTTTGAGTTCTGCAGAGGAGTCCCAGTCTCTGTTATATTTGCTTGTATGTAAAAGTGATTTATTTTTTCTGACTTAACATCCATTTTTGTTTTTCTTTGTACTCTCAGTGTGCAAAATTTAGGGTCACAAGCTTGGTTTTACTTTGTTTTTTGTTTTTAATAAGTGTAGGGCCGAACTTTCACCAGCTTCCAGGTTTTCACACAGCTTTTGCAGGCTTAATAAGTTAGGCATGGAAAAGTGGGGGCACAAAATGTGGAGGCTTAAGCTGAAAATGTGTCCCGTATTGCTCGGAATTCTGTCTCCCATGTCAAAGTCTGTATCCAAATTCAACACCCAGGGTCCCGTAGTATGGTGGGAAATTAATAATTCAACCCAGATCACAAAAAAGGTGGAGTGCACAGACTGCATGTAAGTATGCCATTTGGAAACGCATTAAATTAATTTCCCCAGGGTGAAAACAGTCAGTAATCACCTTCCCATTACCCAGAGATGGGTGTGGGCATGGAGGAAAGGTACTGAGTCAACAGAATACCAACTAGATTTCATGATGCTCTGTTTTAATTGTGTGCAGAGAATGAACCTGCCATTTTCCCAGGAAGAGGCAGGTCTTCTAATAAGGAAAGCGTTTTCTTCTTGGTAGAGGAATGTGTGCTAGTGCTGGGTGTGACGTTGAGTTGGCAGACGGAGATGTATGTGTTCAAAGTTTATAGCAGGGATGGCATTCGGCTTGGAATTGCAATTAAGCCTTTAAGTGACCTCCTAAGACACCAGAAAAAGTCAGTCGCCTTCTAAATTGGTCTTTAACTACTGCTTGACCAAAATTGCCCTAGAAACATGGAGACACTTTAAAGTGAAACGGGATTGTTGCCTATTGTAAGAATGTCTTAGTTTTGGATTCATGGTGTATTATTATGTCCTCTATTTATTCTAACTGCATGTGATACTCAGTTATATGTGGTCACTGGTGACTGGTGAGTGTAACAAGCCACAAAATCTTAACCAACCATTGTAAATAAAACTGAAAATAGAGCAGACATTTTGTCCTGGATCCTGGATAAAGTTTGTACCCTTCATGGCTAGTATTTGAGTGAACCTTAATAAAAAGAGAGAGATGATCTCTTGCCTGGCCTCTAACTAGGAGAACCAGATAATACAGGCACCTATAAAATATCTCAGGAGTCAGTCTCCTCCTGGCTGCTGAATCCTTTTTTTAAGCCCCTTTCAGGTGTATTAGGCCATTTCTACATAAGGCTGCATTTCAGCCAGGAGAGTCTGATGGGATCAGACATTAAGAAATGAATAAAATGGTATATGCACAAACAAGAGCCAACCAGAACCTTCTCCTATAATGAGAGGTGTCCAAACGAGTGCTTTGAGAATCCAGACACCCCCAGACTTTGGGAAGGGAGAACTCAGGATTCAAAGCTGGATCTTGATGTAAATTTCACAGTGAAACCTCTGTCTTTAGACTGGGCTGAACTGAACCAAAATTCTGAAAGTGAAGGCATGCTGTTGGCACAGTGTGGAGAAGCTTGTATTGCTACCATTCGTGCTGTACTAATTCTGTAGACAACTGACTTCACTCTCAGGGACTGTCAAAATGGCACCTATCCCCAGTGTTGAATGCCCTTTAAACAAAGAGTGCTATACACCAGGACCATTTGGGAAAATATGCATGAGAAGGTATTTCATCAATGCCTGTGGTTTGCGATCTAACATCTATGCAGGTTAAAACATGCACACTGATTAAGTTTTTGATTAATTATCCAGTATCAAAAACATATATATTTAGGGCTTGCAGAATCAGATACGTTCTCCAGATGTGGCTTCATTTCAGTTAAGTAAGATGAATGGAAATCAAAGCCTCTGATCTTTAGCCTGGCTGAAACTTGCTGATGACATAAGGCCCTAGAAAATTACACATCAGAGAGCACGTGACCATTCAGAACCTTGATACAGAGACAGCAAAAATATAAGAAAAAAACTCCAAGAAGTATAAATACATCATTAGGTCCCTACTGGTGTATATAAATAGCAATCTTCCAAGAAACTTCCTCTTAAAAAACACATTAAACACATTTAAATACATTGATTTTATGTTCTAGCTAACGGATGATTTCCAACACATGAATATCCTCCTCGCTTCATAGAACTGGCAGAGAATGTCACCATGGGCAAACCAGATTCTGGCAACCGATAAGGCTGTTTCCATTGTTCTAGCAGTGTAAAGCAGACAAAGCTGGCTTCCTGTGGTGAAATCTTCAGGGTATCATAGGGCCAGCATCAGCAACTCTGTACCAGTCTCCTCACAGCCCTGAGGAAAAAGTCAAGAAAAGACAGAGAGCTGCAAATTCTGGCTGATCCTGGCTACTGTAATGCCTTATGGAGGTGATAGGCAGCTGGGGGTATGATAGAGCAGCTCCACACAGTATATACAGACAGCACCCCTGAAATACAGCCAACTCTGGTGGAGGGCAGCACCAGTAGCCAACAGCTGCACAATGCACTGCACAGCAAAAGGGGAAATGCTCGACTTACATAAAAAGTGCTACAGGGTCCTTATCAGCACAGAGCTGACAGGACCTTGGTTTTTAAGGTCTCCTCAGGAAGACCCCACACGCAATAAGCAACACGGAGCGCAGTTTATCTGCTCTGGTGGGATGATGGGCTGTGGCAATGATTCTGGGATTTAAGACTGTGGATGGCTCTATGGAAACAAGATATGTTAAATTAGATGATTTCTCCATTAAGCCATTCCCCACCCACTTGAGGTCATAACATTAAGAAAAAGAGAAATTGTTCACAAGGCTTCTTCAGTTATAATATAATACTAACAAACTACATCGAGGTGATAGACCCAAATCAAAGCCCTGCATCCAGATGCAGTTGAGATCCTCTCTCTAATGGTTTGAATCCAAACATCCTGACCTTTGGGAAAGTTAGGAGCTGGATTTTCAGGCACCCCAATTTGGTAGTGTTCAGACCCATCTGTATTTAGAGGAACAGTCAAATCCATAAGTTTACTTATTGCATTTTATGAAACATTGTTCAGTTGCCAGAACAAGATAGGTTGCAGGGTGCTATTTCCCCAAGCGACGTATATAGTTTGTTACCAAGACATGCATTTTGTGCTTCCTCAGATATTTACCGTGCTTATTTTCTTATGTATAACTTCCGTGGTGAATGTATTGGAGCGTAGTTCCAATGTGACACACAGCTTATACATTAAATCTAGCTCAGAGAGACTTCCAGAGCCATTGGCACGAAATGAAGATTTCCACTCTGCTCCCTGTTGCAATACACAGCACATAGGTTGCTGTTCATTTTTATTTGCTTTTATTGCCCCTCAAACAATTCCTCATGGAATTTGTTTGAATTTTACATATAATTTGCACAGATTTAATATGACCTTATAGTAATCTTTGGAAAGCCAGAGGACCTGATATTTTGACCAAGACATCCTGTTCGATGTATTATCTTTGCTGTAATGTAGGTGCGGTTTTAGCCATGAGAACTGGGGAGTTGGGCTGTCATATTACACACCTTCACCACTCTCAATTAAATTATTCTGAGCCTAACAACTTCTGCTTCAACAAATATGCATCTCAGCAATACCATATGACAGTGGACAAATAATTTTATTTTTTAAAACAGAATTGGCAAACTCCTGAGCCACGTTGAACTCCACATTAGCTCCACCTAGGGCCTTCCATTCTGCCTTATGATCACTTGATACTGCAAATATTTTTCTACAGTCCTAAATATCATTTTACACAGTGGACCAGGTAATTCCTATTAAAAATATGAATATACTTTCCTAGTGGAAATACATTTTTAATTCTTTTTCTGTCTGCATTCAAGCTACTGTACCGTGAAAGTTGTAGGGCACTAAATCTCAGCCTCACCAAGTTTGTTTCAGGTTCCTAGTATAGATCACAGTTTGGTTCCATATTGAGATGACTTCCCTCTACAGTAAATTTCTTCAGTTTGGCACCATCCCTATTACTGAGGCTATTGTAAAATACAAAATATAAAGTTCCCTGTGTTGAAAATTTCAAGTTTCCCGTGTTTTTATAATCACTTGAGCCATGCCAAAACACCTAGGGACTGAATCATATTGAATTTGCTGAACCCAAAATATGAGACAATAGAGCTGTTCAAAACTGTGATACAGTGGCACACATACAAAGTCACTTGGGATCTACATCATCTGAGCGTGAACGACAGGGTCCAGCAGGGGAAGTTTCAGTTTCTACAGATTCACTAGTGTTTCTTTTGTTTCCTTACATTGCATTTCTGCTGCAATTGTTCTTTTTGGACCTTCAGAACAGCTACAAGGATGAAAAGCTATAGTGACCAAAACCGTGTCATTTGAAAAAGTCAGTAAAAAGTAAACTTTAAAAAGAAAAAGGGTTGTTTCTAAGAACAGATTAAAGTAACAAGTATCAGGCATGTAGCTTTGTTGTTAGAAATAACATTTTTGCAGTGGAAAGCAATGAGAAACTCCAGCAAACATTGCCCTTCTTGCCCTCCCCTGTTCTGCATCCAGCGGTGAATTGCAGTTTCAGGAATATATATTGCAACTCCACTCCAAAACTAATGCTTCTCCCTAGAGTGTATTTTGGGAAACAAAAGATGAACAATGAGAATGATTATAGTAAACACACCTAGCTAGGCAATGTTGCAAGTATAATTTCCAGAGAAAACTTTGTTACGATAGAGCTAAATTTATAATTACAGATTAATCCGAGATAAAAGGCAGATCAGAAAAAGCTCTATATTATCATAGAATGTTGTAGTTACTTTAGAAAAATGTTTGAAAGCAAAAAATTCTAAGTTAAAGGTAAAGGAACCTTAGCTGCTATAAATCATTGTAGCTCCACTGAAATCAATGGATCTATGTTAATTTACATCCACTAAGGATCTGGCCCGGTCTTAAAAATACTACTACTACTAATAAAAAAATCAATTGCAGAGTGCCCACATCACATCACAAAAATGCCTTAAGTGGTACCACAGCTGATGGCAAAGACTGAATGGATTGTGGAAACTGAGTGACCCTCTCACCTTGAATGTGGTAACTTCAGAACAGAATTGAGGCAAAAATATAGGGGAGCCTGCCATTAGAGATAACAGCAGTTAGATACTGCAATGATGGGCACTATATTAGCACTGTGTCCCGTATGTGGCACTTCAGCCAAAATACATCCCCTGGTGTTCTGCCAAGTGGCTAGTGATTTTACTCTTTAATATGTAGGAACAGCCTTGGAAATGTACAATGATCCATCTTAAATTGAATGGATAGGGTGCTTGGCTCAAGATGTAACATGCATTCTGAGACCTGTAGTCTGCATTAGAGATGAGTGGCTGCAGTGTATTAGATTTTAATGCAGATTAGGTATTGCCTTAGGCTCCTGGCCAGTTGACAGTATGGCCCTCAATAGGGCAAAGTTTGGGCACCCCCATTGTAGCATTCCTGCTGCTGATGTGGTATCCGTCAGATGCGTTAAACACAGTAGGTTCTTGGAACAATATAATAAGCTCATATAGTCTAGTGTTAACATTCCCTGTTGCACTCTCCCATATCAACTTCAAATTTCTTTGGTTAACCTTATGCAGCTTCTGAGCAGAAGGCTGAGTCATCGCATAGGCCATTAGCTTTATCTGTAATAAAAAAGTTTACAGTCTCAAAAAGCCGCAGGCCCATATGGTTTCACATCTGATTTGTTTCAAGTCATTTAGGTAACAAGTTGAAACACTCTCCCTTTGACATATGTTTGGGCATGGGGATGTGTGTGGATTTCCTTACTAAAGGCATCTTCCGCCAGCCTTTGAAGACAGTGACACTGTCTTTGATCTATAAGCAAAGAAGGGGCTTAGTGTCATGACAGTAATATAACTGTATTTCTTTCACAAATACCTCGACTGTAGGATGTTATTTATAGTTTGTCTTGGAGACTGGGGGCAGAGCCTTGCCATACATTGCTAATCCTGATCAGGCAGAATTGACTATAATTTATAGTACAGTATGTATACTCTCATTCATACATTTTGCTCCTGCTTAAAGTAAGGAAACCTTTTCGTCTTACTAGATAGAAGAACTTTTAAGTCTTAAATCCATTTGCTTTAAAGGGGAGCTTTGTGAGATGAGTCATGATAGGGATTCAAGGCTTTAATAAAAATGGATCTTTTGCAGGGACTAGGAACTTTTGGGGAAGAGAGGGAGATGCTCTCCCGTGGACACAGCTCAGTGTAGCCACCGCGGTAAGTGGATCTAACTACGTTGACTTCAGTAACATTATTCACGTAACTGAAGTTGCGTAAGTTAGATCGATTTACTGCAGTAGTGTAGACCACAAATGAAGGACTCAACATATCATCCTCTGAATCATTCTTTCCTTTCTACAAATTTCTGAATACAGTGTGTGCATCTTAATGTAAACAGAGAGTTCTGCATGAGTAGAGAGAGAGAATCAGTTTCAAAAGACTGCCCTCTGGATGGTGGAGGACAATTTCTCCCTAAACAGAGGTCTCCTGATTTAGACTTTAAAGAGATTTAACAGTTATGCAACTGTTTGTGGAATATGGATAACTCCTGCCCAATGTTAAAGGCAGCCAAAAATATTCATGCATGAAGGAGGGGGCTAACGCCCAAGTGGCAATCACTGGATTTGTTTGCCTTCTTCATGGAACATATAAGCCTCATTAAGAGGAATGTCATTCAAAGGCTATGCTATTCTTGTTTACCCTGCCTGTGACTTTCAGAGGGCTGACAGTGGTTTCTCCAATTCAGTTTTGCCAAACAAAATACATTTAACTCTCCCTAAACTTCTCCTCCTTGGCAAACATTCAATTCCAGGCCAGCCCAAACCTTTTTATAATGGGCTGAACCAAAATCTTGGATCAGAACACCGCAGTGGCTGCATTGGGGAAACTTATATACCGCCCTGTAGCTGAAGGCACTTGGAATAATTAGCTGACCCTTGATTAAGGCATCTGGGTAGTGAGAACATTACCAAAGCTTCCTGTATTTCACTGAAGCTACAGAACCTTTGTCTTGTCAAGTATTTGTTTAAAAGGGACATTTGTCAAGGCTGGACAGCTTAAAATTAGCCCCTTCAGCTGTGTTGTAGCTCACGGGTGTGTGCCTATGCTCACTGCCCGTCCCTTCCCTCTGCCTCTCTGCAACCTTTAGTGAGCTGGCCAAAGTATAAGGATCCTTCCCTTTGAGAGGAGAATGCATTGCCTGCACCATTCACTCCTCTGCCTACTTAGAAAGGATTGGGCTGACAGAGTCTAGGGAGGGGCAGGATGACCTGCACATGCTCACATCATATGTACAGTTGCCATTGGTTGCACTGGCTTAGTTACGGTTGGGTGGCTGTACTGTTTGACAGCCTTCAGTGTGGTGATGCATTTTCTTAGATTCAAAAGGAAAAGTTTTTAAAAAATAGACCAAAGTTGGCTGTTGTTTTCGCTTCGTTCCTCATCTGGATGCAGTTATGTTACTAGCCAATACAAGGCGAATTACAAATTATATGGGTGAGTGTAAAACCCTGTTGTTGCTATTGCTATTTTATTTATTTTAAAGTCTCTATTGTGGTAGCACCGACAGGTTTGTTGTACACTTTGAAATTTGCATTTGGTGAATATATAAGCTTATTGTAGCTCTCTGGGGCAGCGGCTATATTTTGGTTCTGTGTTTGTACAGCACCTAGCTCTCCTGGTCCATGATTAGAGTGCCTAGGAACTAAATTAATATAGATAATAATAATAATAATAAAAATAACAGTCAGTGATATTCACTATGTTAAATCTTTATTTTTTTTATACTTCTTACATTTTGTAACTGTACCATCTCCTGCGCGTGTTCCTAAACTGACTAACCACAACGTCATATTGCTATAACCCCCATCTTTCCTTGCTCCATCCTCTTCCTACTGTTAGTCACTCTCATTTCATTCCATATAAAATTTAGGTTTGGGGTAGGGACAGTATCTTTCTGTGACTTCTGAGAAATGTTTAACACACTTTTCAATGCTGTAAAGTAATAATAATCATTAATTGTACTTTAAATATGCAAAGGCTGTTGTGGGGGATGTTTTTCGGGGAAAGAATCTTTGCAGGTGTTTCATGCTGATTTTATTGGAGACTGGCTGAAACAAAAGCTAGTTCCAAGCACCTACGCACTTTGGGGGTGGGGGTTGAAATTTGGATCCAAATGTTGTAGCTGGAACTTACCTCCTTAGAAGCCAAAAGAAACTAGCCTATTTGACTTTGGGAGCAGATCCTGGCCTGAAAATTTTGTCAGTAGTGTTATTGGGAACATGTGGTAAGGGACTTCACCTTGAACCAAGTCTAGTTTGTTAAGTTTTAGATACTAGAAAGTGTTTTATCTTTATTTCTCTTTTAACCATTTCTGACTTTAATGCCTTATATTTGTACTCACTTAAAATTTCTCTCCTTGTAATTAAACAAACTTGTTTTATTCTTTAATAAAAACTAATCCAATATTGTGAAATGTGTGGGTAACTCCATTTAGGGTAGCAGACTGTTGTATATTGATCCCTGTAAGGGGCAACAGACCTATTATATCTGGATTGTCCAGAACACATGTTTTGGGAGGAAATCCGGGACTGGGAGTGTGTTAGGGTCACCCTGCAAGTGGTAACCCAGGCTGGTGGAAGCCAGAGTGTGACTGGTGTGTGGCTAGCAGGCTGCAGCTGTACACAGACGTGCAGGGTGTTACCTGCAGGCTGGAAGGCTGTTTGGGAGTGGCCCAGGAGGGAGCTACAGCATCAAGGCATCGTGAGGTACTCGAGTTTGTAGTGCGGGGGTGACATATAGCCCCTCACTGGTCTAGATTGCACCCTGCAATGTCATATTGCGCCAGTACCAACCACCTCATTTTATTTGCAAAGTGAAAAAATGTGCTTTTCAGTTTAAGCAGAAAGAACAAATGTAAAATCTCCATCATATACAAAGCAAAGTGTGTGTCTCTCACACTAGAAGACCCTCCATCTAAAATTACCTCCAAGCACACTGCCCTCCCAGGAGCCTGGTGCAGAGACAGCTGGTTTAAAGGGGGTAATACACATAAACTAAAATTATAACATTGATTCAGTTACATAACCATGTGCATCACACCGCAAACTTTAGGTAAGATCAGCTATAAATCCAGTGTTGTGCCTTTGGCCCTATCTTGAACTCTGAGCAACAATTCGCTGTGTCATAACCTGGGCAGGGAGCTATTGAATGTAATGTGTCTGGGAAAAATCTGTTTTCTGCCATTGAAGCATCTCTCTTGAGTGGAATAATGGGTTGCAATGGAAATGCCGATAAAAGCTGTAAATGCACAGCTGCTGATGCAAAGCTATAATGCCTGTTTAGTTTGCTATCACACAGCATATCAAACAGTTACCGCTTGTCCTTTGATCAACATTTTTTGGTATAAACTGAACCTGCTGACAAATTATGTCACCAAAAAGAAGTTCAGCTCTTTGATTAAATAAAAGGAAACAAGCGAAAGCTGAGAGTTTAAAAATGTATGTAAATAGAACAGAATTTCATTTTACATAGATCCCTTCATGCTCAGGGTATCTCAAGGTA